ATGAGGATAATAATGGTAATGATCTTCATGGGGTTGTTGGGTGGGTGAAATGATTATGTGAAGCTCCTAGAACAGACTAGGGTCTCGTAAGAGGCACATGAGCATTTGGTATAATAATTACTGTGAAGCTTACGGTCTGGCTGTTCTTGTTGTTGTTAGCTGCTGACTCATGGCAACTCCATCCATAACAGTCTGAAAGCTCTGCTAAAATCTGTTCAGCATCATAGCAACATGCAGACCTCTACTGACAGATGGGTGGTGGCTGCGCATGTAGGAGGGGCAGTCATAACACACTGGGGTTTAATAATAGAAATGGGTTGAAGGTGAGGGGCAGCACAGGACAGGGAGAGACCCTGGGGGCTAGGGCCGGTGCATCAAGAGCGCTTTAAGGAGGATGTGGTAGCTGAGCTTGGTTTTTACAGGTAACCAGGCCTTCTCCAGGCAGAAAAGTAGAGGAGGACATTCAGATAGACACAACAGTGTGGGCAGGCCAGGAGGTGCAAAGCAGCCTTGTTTTCTGAGACTAGTTTGTGGTGTGGTGCAGACAGAGTGGGAGATGCAGAGTTGGGGAGGCTGCCCGGAGGCAGGGCATTTGCAGGCCACGCTTGTAACGCACACAGCTAGTCCAGGTGACGGTGTGGACCTTGGAACAGGATGCCATCTGCTTTTCTTGAGTTGTTCCAGTCTTCACAGTCACAACTTTTAGTGACTACACAACATCTCTGGGGTAAACATATCATAATTTACCATTCTCCTAACATTGGATGGAGTCCCTGGGTGGCACAAATGGTTAAGTGGTCGGTTGCTAACCAAAGGTTGGCATTTTGAATTCACCCAGAGGCACCTCGGAAGAAAGGCCTGGCAATCTGCTTCTGAAAGGTTACAGCCTTGAAAACCCTATGGAACACAGTTCAACTCTGACACACACAGGGTCACCATGAGTTGGAATCAACTCCACAGTAACTGGTTTGTTTTTTGTTTTTTTTTAATTGTACTTTAGATGACGGTTTGCAGAACAAATAGTTTCTCAATGAACAGTACACATATTGTTTTATGACAATGTCATGTCAACCCTCTCCCTTCTCAGCCTTGGGTTCCCTCTTACCAGCTTTCCTGTCCCCTTCTGCCTTCTAGTCCTTGTCCCTGGACTGTTGTGCCCCATTAGTCTTGTTTTGTTTTATGGGGCTGTCTAATCTTTGGCTGAAGGGTGAACCTCGGGAGTGACTTCATTACTGAGCTGAACGGTTTTTGGTTTTTATGTTGAATATTGACGTTGCTTTCATTTCTGTGTCACAACAAACATTGTCATAACGTATATTGATGTGTGTATCATGTCTTCTGTTTGGGGTCTTCTTTTCCTGGGAGAGATTTCACGCCTTCCCTAGGGCTCCCTCCCCTGTTCCCTGGCCATGGAGAGAGGCGCAGGCACCCAGCTTGGCTGTCCTTACAGTCCCCAAGTGCAGAAGAGAGAAGGAAACTTGACCCAGGTCTAAGCATTCTCACAAACATTCTCATTTAATCCTCACGAAACTTGGAGGGAGTGTTGTTGGCCTTGTTTTAAAGGAGAAACTGAGGCTCGAAAGCGTCTCACACCACAGCTTACTACTAATCACAAAAGGAAGGACATCACAAAGCTTCAGAATGTTTTCAAAGCTCCCCCATCATGGTTCCCTAAGTCTGTTTCCTTCTCTGTAAAAGGAGGATGTTCAAAGTAAAGCTAGCTAGTATTTACTGAACACTTACTACAGGCCAGGTACTGTTATTAGACATCTCATTTTACAGCTGAGGAAACTGAGACACAGAGAGGTTAAATAACTTCCCGAAGGCCACACAGCTGGTCATTGTGGCTCCAGAGCTGCCCTGTGCTCTCAGCGCCCTTGCCTCAGATGTGAGGCCTTAAATGAGACAATCCATGCAATGTGCTTAGCCCAGGGCGTACTACATAGTCAGTGCTCAATAAACGTCTCCTGATGTAACTGTTATTATTGACCCTTATTGTTGTTTGGTGCTGCTGAGTCAATTCTGACTCATAGTGACCCCATGTGACAGAGTAGAACTTCCTGGTGGGGTTTTCTAGACTGTAATTTTTATAGAAGCAGATCACCAGGTCTTTCTCCTGCAGACCCACTGGGTGGGTTCAAACTGGCAACCTTTCGGTTAGCAGTCAAGCACTTAACTGTTGTGCCACCCGGGCTCCTTTATTGACCCTTCCTCCCTTTTTAAATGGTTGTTTCTAGGCCTCTTGCTCTTTCCTTTCTCCCTAATGCTGATGCTCAGCACACCTCTCCTCTTCTCAGCACATAGGCTGGGCAGACGAGAGAGAGCACTAATGTCCACTCAGATGTCCAGGCCCCTCCCAGGGTACTCACACTCAGGTGCTCTGTCCTTGGTGTCTGACGTGCTCTTTGGCAGTGACTATGGTGGCACTGTGGGTAAGCTCTCGGTAGCTAACTGAAAGGTTGGTGGTTCAAACCCACCAGCCGCTCTGTGGGAGAAAGATGCAGTGGTCTGCTTCTGTAAAGATTACAGTCTTGGAAACCCTATGGGGCATTTCTACTCTGTCCTCTAGGGTTGCTGTAAGTTGGAATTGACTGGACAGCAATGGGATAATGGGTCCTGGCAAGGTGGCGGAACAGGGCTGCCTGCAGCTTGTTCTCACCAGCCTTTGGGGCAGTGCCTTTGGCAGACCATGTGCTCCTGGGAACCCAGGAAATAACAAGGAAGCTAATTCTGTCATCCAGACTGGGACAATTGCCAGAACAGAAAAGGTGGCTCTGTGAATCTGCTACTTAAAGTAGCCACCCAAGCACAGGCGCATGATGTCTTCACAAACAGGCATTTCCGAGGGGCTTGTTTGGGGGCCCTCTCAGGGCTCCTTGGCACCAAAGGTTTGAGACAAATGCTTACTGTCCCCTGCCCCTCAATAGATTGTGAGATGATCCCAGTGCCTGCGTGGTATGTAGTAGAGAGGAGACACTGATTTTGTGGAATTGAAATGACCTGTGCCGAGCTCTGAGTACCAAAAAATTCTCTGACTGACACAGTGAGAGCCCTTCCCCTGCATGGTATGTTCCTGCCCACTGTGAGCGCCCATCTGTGATCGCCTCTGTCAGTACAGCAGCTCTGTGGAGCAGGGAGCAGTGGGTGCTGTCCACATTAAACCCCAAAATCCGAACCCACTGCCACTGAGTCAGTTCTCACTCATAGCAACTCTAGAGGACAGAGTAGAACGTGGAAACCGTAGGGTTTCCAAGGCTGTAAATCTTTATGAAATCAGACTGCCACATCGTTCTTTGGCAGAGCGGCTGGTGGATTCGAACTGCTGACCTTTCGGTTAGCAGCCAGACACTTTAACCATTGCACTACCAGGGCTTCTTGCTGCCTACATTGTTGTTGTTGTTAGGTGCCATCAAGTCCATTCCGACTCCTAGCGACCCTGTGTACAACAGAACGAAACACTGCCCGGTCCTGCGCCATCCTCACAATCGTTATGCTTAAGCCCACTGTGGCAGCTACTGTGTCAATCCATCCCATTGAGAGTCTTCCTCTTTTTCACTGACCCTTTTACTAAGCATGATGTCCTTTTCAAAGGTCTGGTCCCTCCTGATAACACGTCTAAAGAATGTGAGACGAAGTCTCGCCATCCTTGCTTCTCATGAGCATTCTGGTTCTGCTTTTTTCAAGACAGATTTGTTAGTTCTTCCGGTAGTCCATGGTATATTCAATATTCTTTGCCAGCACCATCGTTCAAAGGCATTAATTCTTCTTCGGTCTTCCTTATTCATCGTCCAGCTTTCGCATGTATATGAGGTGGTTGAAAACACCATGGCCTGGGTCAGACACACCTTAGTCCTTAAATGTGACATCTTTGCTTTTTAACACTTCAAAGAGGTCTTTTGCAGCAGATTTGCCCAATGAAATACGTCGTTTGATTTCTTGACTGCTGCTTCCGTGGGCGTTGATTGTGGATCCAAGTAAAATGAAATCCTTTACAACTTCAGTCTTTTCTCTGTTTATCATGATGTTGCTTACTGGTCCAGCTGTGAGGATTTTTGTTTTCTTTATGTTGAGGTGTATGGATATTATCCCATCACTGACAGCATTGTACTTCAGGATAGATCTTGAAGTGTTCTTTCTGAAGATGAATGCAACACCATTTGTCTTTAATTTGTCATTCCCAGCATAGTGGACCATATGATTGTCTGATTCAAAATGGCCAATACGAGTCTATTTCAGCTCCCTAATGCCTAGGATATCGATCTTTATGTGTTCCATTTCATTTTTGATGATTTCCAATTTTCCTAGATTCATTCTTTGTACATTCCACATTCCTATTATTAATGGATGTTTGCAGCTGTTTCTTCTTGTTTTGAGTCATGCCACATCAGCAGATGGAGGTCTCGAAAGCTTGACTCCATCGTTGTCGTTAAGGTCAACTCTACTTTGAGGAGGCAGCTCATCCTCAGTGGTATTCTGAGTGCCTTCCAACCTGAGGGGCTCATCTTCCAGCACTTTATCAGACAGTCCGCTGCCATTCATAAGGTTTTTGGTAGCCAATTTTTTTCAGAAGTAGACCACCAGATCCTTCTTCCTTGTCTGTCTTAGTCTGGAAGCTCAGCTGAAACCTGTCCACCATGGGTGACGCTACTGGTATTTGAATACGAGTGGCATAGCTTCCAGCATCAATCACAGCAACACACAAGCCCCCACAGTACGACAAACTGATAGACGTGTGGGGGCTGCCCACATTACAGATGAGGAAACTGAGTCTCTGTTGGGGAAACTGGGTCAGGGAGCAGGACAGCTCTGGAGTCACAAAGGCAGCTTAGGAGGGGAGCCTGCTAGGTGCCTGGCCTGCCCTGAGTGCTCTGTAACTCCCCCTCAGGCCTCCTTGCCCTCCACTCAGTGCTGTTTCTCTTTCTTCTCCTTTTCACGTCCCCGCAGGCCCAGAATTGGGGAACAACGCCGGTGGGGAGCGACCTGGGTGCCTGTGTAGGAACCCGCTGCACTTGGTGAGGTGGGCATGGGAGACCGCACCCAGCTGACCAGAGACCCCGTTCTCTTCCAGAGTGAGGGGGCAGGCAGCGGGGCCTCCGCACCTGCCCCTCGGAAGATGCAGTTCTTCGGCCGCCTGGTCAACACCCTCAGTAGCGTCACCAACTTGTTCTCTAACCCATTCCGGGTGAAGGAGGTGTCTTTGGCAGACTACAACGTGAGCAGCCGGGTTCAGGAGGAAGGGCAACTGATTCTGTTCCACAACGTCCCCAGTCGCACCTGGGACTGCGTCCTGGTCAACCCCAGGAACTCACAAAGTGGATTCCGGTGGGTGCTGATCAGCCAGGACACACGCTACTTTCCTTTGTCTCCTCCCAGCTCTCGGCCTGGAGGTCTCTCAGCTGAGAAGCAGCTTCTTTGGGTCTACATCTGAGGAGTCTGGAGAGGGGTGGCTGAGAAGGGGGACTGCCCCCCCAGAGAAATGCTCTGCTCTTAGCGTGGTGGGAGGAACTTCCTAGAAGTCCAGCCTTCTGGCCCTCAGGCCCTCGGCAGCAGAGACTTGGGGAGAGAAGACTGGGCTGTCCCCTGCCAGGAGACTGACCTGTTCAGACAGAGGGAAGGGAGGAGGATGGGGCAGTTAAGAGGCCAGTCACGTAAGGCCTGCTGCGATAACTGTGATCGCCTTTCGCCCTGGATCTTTAAAGCCATGGCACACTTCAGAGGGGCTGGCCAGGGTTGTGGCGCAGTGGTTGGGTGTTCAGCTGCTAACCAAAAGGTCAGCAGTTTGAATCCCCCAGCCCCTCCTTGGAAACCCTATGGGGCAGTTCTATTCTGTGCTATAGGGTCGCTATGAGTCAGAATCACTCAATGACAGCTGGTTTTTAGTTTGGGCCAGGGTTAACTGAAGAGAGCCTCAAGGGAGTGGACAGACTTGTCACTTCTCAGGACATCTGGGGACTCCTAGGGGCTAGAAGGAAAGGGTAGGAAGCCAGGACAGAGCTGAGGGAACTGAGCCAGCTGCAGGGTTGGCTGGGAAAAGGGGAGAGGAGTGACCAAGGACTCCAAAATGCAGGGTCAGAGAAGTGGGGCAGGCTGGCATTGAGTTGAGCCACTACTGATGTCCGTTTTCCATTTGTTTACCCATCTGGCTCTCCTGTCATCTATCCATTCCACACTCATAGAGCATCTCTGGGACCTCCAGTGTCCCAGGCCCTGGGCTAGGCCTGTCTGTGCAGTGAGATGCCAAAGCATGGTCTGTGCCTTTAAGGAACAGGCAGTCTGGGGGAGGTATGCAAAACAGGCACTGTGATAGCAGGTGAGATGAACTGGGACAGAGGTAGAGCACCAGGAACAGTGGCACACAAGGATGTGATCGATAGCGATAGCATAGCTTTCTTGGGGGTGGAGGCTCAGGAGCTGCTCTGCATCCGGAAGGGTAGGAGTTGTCTGGCAGTACAGATGAGGCTGTTCCCCCCACTGGAAGTGCAGAGGCGAGGAGGCGTGAGCCTCAGGCAGGGTACTCTGGCTGGATCCTAGGTGCCTCCGGGCACTGGTGAGAAGTGAGACTGGAGGGGACAACTGGGGCTATTCTGACTGAGGAGGTGTGGCAGCGGGGATCTCAGAAAGTGGCAACCTGGGGACACGGGTTCAGCCACCAGGAAAAGAGCAGGGCAGAGTGTCAGGGCCTCAGCCAACCAGGCATAAATTCAGAGTCCAGCTTGGTTTTGGTGGGAAAACGGAATACAGATGAGGAAACTGAGGCAGAGGCACTGCAGTTAAGGCTTGGGCAAAGACTGCTGCTTAGTTGTTGTTAGGTGCCATCGAGTCAGTTCCGACTGTCAGCCATGCCATGTACAAGAGAACGAAACACTGCCCGGCCCTCCGCCATCACAATCGTTGTGCTTGAGCCCTTGTTGCAGCCACTGTGTCAGTCCATCTCATTGAAGGTCTTCTTTTTTACTGACCCTCTACTTTACCAAACATGATGCCTTATCCAGAGACTGGTCTGTCCTGATAATCTGTCCAAAGTATGTGAGATGAAGTCTCGCCATCCTTGCTTCTAAGAAGCATTCTGTCTGTACTTCTAAGACAGATTTGTTCATTCTTCTGGCAGTCCGTAGTATTTTCAATATTCTTCGCCAACACCATCATTCAAAGGCATCAACTCTTCTTTAGTCTTCCTTATTCATTGTTCAGCTTTCACTTGTATATGAGGCAATTGAAAACACCATGACTTAAATCAGGTGCACTTTAGTCCTTAATGTGACATCTTTGCTTTGTAACACTTTAAAGAGGTCTTTTGCAGCAGATTTGCCCAACGCAGTGTGTCGTTTGATTTCTTGACTGCTGCTACCATCGGTGTTGATTGTGGATCCAAGTCAAATGAAATCCTTGACAACTTCAATCTTTTATCCGTTTATCACGATGTTGCTTATTGGTCCAGTAGATAGTCCAGATGCCAGTTTGCATCCAGCAGGACCAGGCCAAACTCTGACTGCAGATAGGCCCGAGTGCTAGCCTGGGGCAGGACTGGCTTGCCTGCAGCTCCAGAAGCTTCCCACAGGCTGGGCAGGCACTGCTGACCAGGGCAGCGAGTCCACTCCTTGGAGGACAGCTCAACCCTGCTTTTGAGATGCCCTGCCCCGGGAACTTTACCACCCTCCATGTCCACATTGTTACAATGTCCTGTCAGCTGTAAATATCCCTTGACTGGACTCTGGATTGTCTCCGTAAGCTTGAATCCCAGTGAGGGTAGACCTCCCTCCCAGGAGGAGTAAAGCATTTTCCAACAGTTTATTAACTACACCTGTTGGAGTCCCTGGGTAGAGCAAATGGTTAAGTGCCGGACTACTAACCAAAAGGTTGGTGGTTCATATTCACCCAGAGGCAACTTAGAAGACAGGCGTGGTGATCTGCTTCCAAAAGGTCACAGCCTTGAAAACCCTATGGTGTGGTTCTACTCTGCACACATGGGGTTGCCATGAGTCAGAATAGATTCCATGGCAACCAACAACAGCAATAATATTATTAACCCTTAATTGGGTGGTACTATATGGACTCAAGCTTAACAACAATTGTGAAGATTGAGGAAGGACCAAGCAGTGTTTCGTTGTTGTACGTAGGGTCGCTATGAGTGAGAAGCGACTTGACGGCACCTAACAACAACAACAACACATAGTTTACAGAATCTTTTCACATATGTTATATTAACACATCCTTCATTGACCCTTTGTGGTAGACAAGGAAGACATTATCCCATTTTGCAGATGAAAAAACTGAGGCTCAGCGACAATAAATGCTTCATTCAAGGTTGCATAGTTAGGAAGCAGTGAAGGTACAAACAGAATCTGGGTCTTCTGGTTTCTAAACCATTTCTCTTTCCATGTATTGGGACAGAATAAGGAGCACTGGGCAGGGTTTCAAGCTAAGCAAATACCCCCCTGCATTCCTGGCCTTCCTCACTAGGCTCTGGAGTCTTTGCCGCCTTCTCCTCTCTAACCTGCTGCCACCCTAGCATTTCCGTTTCAGCAATGACATCACCACCATCCATGTGTTTGTGCACCCCAGAAACCCAGGAGTGACCCTTGATTCCTCCTGCCTCCTTGCCCCCATCAGGTCATTGCCAAGTCTATTAGGTTCTCCTCCCAAGCACCTCTTGAATCTGCATCTTCTTCTCTACCAATTAGGGTTACTAGATTCCCCTTGAGTGATGTTGTTAGGTTCTGTCGAATCGATTTTCCACTCATAGCAACCCCATGTGACAGAGTAGAACTGCCCCATAGGATTTTCTAGGCTGTAATCTTTACAGAAGCAGATCGTCAGGTCTTTTTCCCACAGAGCTGCTGGGTAGGTTTAAACTGCCAAGCTTTCTGTTAACAGCCAAGCATTTAACCACTGTGCCACCAGGACTCTTTGCTTGAGTGATAGAAAACCTGAAACACTAGTGTCTAAACAAGATAGAACTTGTCTCTCAAATGATGCCAAAGCAGACAAGAGCGTGTCTGATACCTCTGCCCCACAAGGTGCTCAGGGACCCAGGCTCCTTCTGTCTTGTCTGGTGTCCTAGGCCACCTCATGGTCACAGATAGGCATGCCTGGCCCAACCATCATATCCACCTTTCTAGCCAGCAGGCAGGCGTAGGGCAGGGTGAAGCATGGCACGCTCCCTCTCTTTAGGGGTACTTTTCAGAAGTTGCACACATGCCTTCCACTAACTCCCATTGGCCAGAACATAGTCACATGGCCACAACTCGCTGTAAGGGATGCCGGGAAGTGGCCTGTACTCCATGCTGCCATGTGCCAGTCTAAAAGCTGGAGTTCTAGGCCTCTCCCTTTGCTGCTGGCACTCTTTTAGGCCATGGTCATTGCTCACGGTGGCTCTGGCTGCAGCAGTTTCCTGGCCTGTCGCTCTGCCTGCGGTCCTACTCTGCTCTGGCCTTCTCCTGGGTGGCCATCAGAGTGACCTCTCCAGAGGGCAGATCTGATGATGTCATTGCCCTGCTTTCCCCTTCAAGGGCTTCTTCTTTCCCTATCATATCAAGTGCTTGCTGTCGTTACGTGCTTTCAAGTTGATTCTGACTCAGTGAACCCATGTGACAGAATGGAACTGCCCCATATGGTTTTCTAGGCTGTAATCTTCACAGGAGCTGATTACCAAGTCTTTTTTCCACAGAGCCACTGGGTGGGTTCGAACTGCCAACCTTTTGGTTAGCAACTGGGCACTTAACTGTTTGCACCACCAGGGCTCCTTATCAGGTACTTAGCATGGCTTAAAAGGGCCTTGTGATGGAGCCTCTGCCTCCCCGTCTCGTCTCGGCTCTTGCCCCCTGACCTCTGCCCAGGCTCTTACCTCACCTAGCCTATCTTCCCGTTTTCCACCTGCCACCCTCCGGGATTGCCCTCCCCTGACCTTTAGGGGAGAACAGGTGCTTCTGCTTTGTGTCCCCACAGCACCCCATCCCTGCCTTCCTGGTAGACTGTCAACTCCATGAGGGTCAGGGTTGTGTTTGTCCTGTTCACCACCATGTCCCCAGCACCCAGCTCGGTGCCTGGCACACATCGGGTTTGTGGTATGAATAGTGCGATCTGTTCATTCAGCATTAGCAGTGTTCACCGAGGGTCACTGTGTGCTGGGCCCCCTGTTGAACTGCAGGTGGTAGAGGGAGTGGGCTGGAGTGTGGGAGGTAGAGGTGAGAGTGTGGGATTCTGGAGTTGAGGTTGTGAAGAGGTGCAGCAATGGTGACTGAGTGGTGGAGGGAGGGTGGCAGTGGGGAGGGCAAGGTCGTGGAGGAGGGGTTGAGGCACTGTGCCAGAGTCCTCCCCCTGCG